AGTTTAGTTTACACAAACGTTTCATTAGGCCAACTAACAAATTGAATTCATTCTGTTTTTGCACGAGAAAAAGCCTTAATTCTTGGGCTGTGCCGGCCAACATAGTCCGCTGTAAAACTGCATTAAATTTGCGTTTGTGAAATTACCCATAAAAGCCAAAGAGCTGACGTTCTATTTCGGACCTCGGACAAAACTCGATAAGGATCATTCTTACCTTGAAAAGTCATGGATTTTGTTTGTTTGGTCTTTTCTTCTGAGCAGGTGTGGCACGGTATCACATGTTTTGTGGGGTTTCATAGAATATTCACTCTACTGACAGTTTCTATGAAACGTACGAATCAGGACTCAGCAAGCTCAGCTGTATCACACACCTAAATTTAAGTGGCTGTTGGTGAGCAGCAAAGGACCATGTGTCAAAAAATCCCATCTTCCCGGTACCGCCTCACTGTTCATATCATGGAACTTCACAGTCGTGTAAGGTTCACCTATTCACAAATGAATGAAATTCAAAACACACGCTTGAATCCCCACCTAATTAAATCATAATCAGGGTGAAGACCAATCTGGAATAGTTTGTGCCGAGTGGGTCTAAGCAGCATGGGGAAGAGAAACTTACTTGGAATGACGTTCTCCTATTTTACTGACAAAGCCATCTCCGTCCTGTCCGATATCAGTGAACTGATGATTTATGCTGGACTTTTCCACGTCACCCAAAGTACAGTCGTTCATAGTCAGGTGCGGATCTTCCATCGAGGTGTCATCGTTCGAAAATTCATCACCGTTGTCTACCTCATTCGAATCTGCTGAGTTCCGGCTGGGTTCATTTTGGCCAAAAGAATAATCGGAGTCTTCCTGCATGCATGTGTTTTCTCTCCAGATTCTTTGTTGACAAATAGTAATCCGTGGAAGCGCACGACGTGACTGGGCCTCGATTTGCCTTGGCTGATCAGACAACGTGGTTATACCGTAAAAAGTCGAGAAGTTGTTCGTTGGCGAAGCCATATTCTCGCATTTGTGTGCATCGATGTGCCTGGTGTCATCGCAGGGGAGTTCAGGGATTGAATCGACATCCACCTCTTCCGTCGTCTGGAGAATGAAATATAATTAGCTGATTGACAAAATACCGCGTAATCGGATTTGGGTGTCAACTATCAGTTTTTTTCCAAAACAAACATAGAAGGTTTTAAGAAAGTGGTAAGCTTTCAAATGGGTACCGAGATTAAGCCCATCGGTAAAACAAACAATCACCAAATGATCCCTCTTTCAGTCTGAACGATTCATCTGATCAACAGTACAAGCCTCTCATCATGACCAGTTGGAAGCCGCACTCAGTTGCAAGCAGCTGTGGACAATTTGATAACAGGGATGACGAGAAATTTTTCGTAACGGCTGAACGAAAACTTAACAGTGGTAACTTTACTGGTTTAAGCAAATCTGACATTAAGTGGTCTACTGCCAACATCAATTATTTGTCGCATTGAACTATGTTTACCAGTAATCCATCCTTGAAATATAAGCGAGCACTTATAGGAAGCGACTACCTCATCCGTTGAAAACTTTCTCTTCCCTGAGGTTTTTCGTGGGCACGGCTTGTAACTGTCAGGTTTCAGGCGACCAACCTCTCTTCAACGTTCTCAATACAAAAGAAATTGCTAATGTGGTTTTTGGAATTCTCTCTTAAGTGTTAAAAACTCAGGACTGAAAATGTTACATTTACGCAGATATACCTCGCATTGAAAGTAAGTATTTGGTTAAAATGAAAATCAAATTTGTGGCGCTAGATAGCAAACAAAAGAATAAAACTAGAGCCGCAGTTAGTAAGCACCTTTAGCTTGTAATGAGACGTCCATAAAATTTGATAAACCTTTTCGCTTCTTCTTGTCAGCTGTAATAACCGCGTACTCGTCGTACAGTGGTTGTAGCTGCCGCGATTTTGTTCACCGTTTCACTAGGCTATATTTATCACCTTCCAAAAGGTTTGTGCAAAGGAAACATGGAAAAGCTGTTTGAGGCTTCTCACTGCAAAGGAGTAGAGGAAACCGCGGAGACATAGAGACGTGACAACACTACCTTTCTAAAGCACCTGTCGCTTTATACTCTCACAGCAAAACACTGGCTCCACAGCGAGGCAAAATATACTCACTTGCAAGAGGTTATTCCCGTGGGTGGATTCTGGCAGTTGATTTGAAGCTTTGCAGTGCAAAGATTGAGGGGCTGAATCCGTTACTAGCTGTGGTATATCCACACATCTCGGTGATGTATGAGTCGAAGTGAGCAGAACGGACTCCTAAATTGTTGAAAAAAAACAACGAGAACGTATACAAAAATTCGAGACAAGTGAAAAAGCGTACATACCTTTTCTCTGATGGTCACCTGTGCCTGTCTGTGGGGTGGATCATTTGAGGTTATCCAACGTATGTGGTAAACCAATTTACATCGTTTGTTATAAAATCTCGGTAGAGCGCTTAACTGGGATTCTTAAGTAAACTGGCTTATTTCGAAAGATGTTTTTATCCGGCAGAAATAGACAAAATCACTCTTATTTGCGTCTTTGCGATTTGCGGTAATACGTGGGCTGAATGAAGCACAGGAGAACTACCTCTTCACTGAGGAGCTTGATTGGGAATTAGAAGTAAAACGTCCGAATCAGTTAAATGCATATATGAACTAATGTACCTGCAATGGTTAGACAAGGGGACAACGAAGGGAACCCTAATTATGGGTCCGATAACTAAATAAAAATGTGACTGGATTACTAGTAGAACAACCATACTGCTATGTTCACTGCAGTCAGATGTCCAGTAAACCAATAAAAATACCGATGGGAGGCTTTTCTTGTCAAAAACTGGGCACTGGAGTTTCCGGCACTTTAACGTTTCATAAATGTGTATTAATGAGGGGAACTTACATGCCCTTGTTGTTCTCTTCCTGCTGCCTTCACATTAGCATCAGTCTTGTCAGCTAAACCAACAGGTGACGGTCTTGGCCGTTCAGAGGGACGTTGTACCCAACTAAAAACACCCACGTCTTCTTCTGCTACCTCAACTATTGGAGACAGATTGACCGGCTCGCTCTCATCTACGTCCGATGCGCCTGAACGGATGCTAACGACAACGTGTCCCTTCGCCGAGGCGCTGGTCATTTGCATTTGGGTCTGTCATGCGTGAAAAAGATACCTCTCTGTCAGTGTAACAACACATGCTCGCACATAGTAAAATAGATGGTGAGAAAAACCTTGGCTCGATACATTAAGTGAAAAACCGCACGTAAATTCTCATAAGTATGACGCGTTGGTAACTGCGAGAGCCAATACGCATACTAGGTACCTATTGCGTAACTAAGTGTCGGTGGTCTGCCCACTCGCAGGGACTTGTATCTAGTAGGCGCCAGTACCGTTTGCCCATGTTCGTGCAAGGTGTCTAAGCTTCCCGGCGACGAATGACGGTACCGTTTACGCAGTGCTTTCAAGGTAAAGAGGGTGATGACGGCACATGTGAAGTTCATCGGTCGACCTACTCGCCGTCTCTGTTGACCTTGTCCACCACAATCAAGTGTTATTTCACTATAATATTCCCGATTGTTCCACTTAGTCAAATTGGTCGAGTGAACGAGAAGATTGTTCGTTTACAGTGGACGAATAAAATGCATGGAACGAACAAGTCCTTCTATGCCCGGTAGCTTTTTTGTTAGCTATATCCAAGTGTGCAACCTACTAAGAAGACGATGATATCGTTTTCTCAGTCATTGGATGCAACAGAAGGAACTGAAAACAAAGGGTTGACAAGGGCTTGCGTCACTAGCATATTACACCACATACAATAATCAGTGCTCACTAGATAAACCTTCTCCAAACCACTTATCACCACATAACGGCAACCTGACAATGACATTGATAACTTTAAGCAAACTCGGTCTTTCTTTGCAAGTAGTACCGCGTCTACTTTAAACAAATCAGTGAACTAATCTCCTTCCACTCTGACGGCAACTTTGTAATTATCAATCTGAAATTTTTCGCGCATTGCATAACAACGAAAGAGTACGCCCAACGCAGATGAGTCTCACTTTCGAACTGAGATAATGTACAAATGAGTGTGTTTTGCCAGCCATAGCTAATTCATTTTTACTGACCTTCCAAAACACTGTAGGATCCAGACAAAACCCGGATGCGCTCACCTGAGAATAATGTGCAGAAGTGGAACCATCCAAAGGCCGTGGTTCTGATCGGTCTTCAGCTTTTTTACTCGTCTGCGTAACGCCAACTTTTTCATCCCTCTTGATAACACGAGAATCCACGGCTGGATTATTCGCGCACTTTGTCAGCTTTTCAACTGTATTCACTTGCATGTCAAGACAATCTGGATCTAAATCCTCCGCGTTTGAATCCACAGATGTGGTGTCATCCAAACTAGAATCCCACTCCATCGCCTTCTTTAGTGTACCGCAAGCGTATTTGATTTCTGGATTGGCTGGGTTATTCGTGAACTGGTTGGCTGCTGAATTTGTGGCGCTATCCCAATCGCTCTGCGGTGTGGATTCTTTTTGCTGCAATTTACAACGTTTATTCCGTAAGTTGTTCAAATGACGAAATAAAATGATAATTTGTTTAAAAACTGAGTAGAAACCTCTTATCGCCCGGTTTTATTCCTATTACTTTCCTGGCTAACTCATGCCCGTATCACAACTCAAGTCCGTTATTTGCTTACAAAGTCACTAGGATGATATGTCTCGTAGTCCCGCATGTAGTTCACCGTTGTTCCAAAATATTGCAAGGGAGCTTTCGTTGCCTCGTAGTTTTATCACAGTCATGGTCACGCTTGGAATCACTAATTGTGCAAGAAACATCTTCTGGCGCACTTAAAAAAATCTGGCCACACACAGAGGATACACAGCTGCAGACCAACATTTTCTGATTAGTCAGGAAAAAACTTACAACACATGCACGCCTTAGATTATTTTGTCAGGGTTAGGCAGTTTAGAACATTGGACCAAACTAAAAAGTTTGAATGTATATCCACATCTTCAAGCTAGCACCAACGGTAGGAAAACGAACCTGCAGCAAAGTATAGCGTGTTTTTCTCGATTTCATTTGCCTTAAAATTCAGCACTTTCCAACTGTCAGATTTTATTTATAAGCCACAACTGTTGAATACAAGCAATCAGACTGATACTGTGCGTAGTTGATGCATCAAAATCTCAGTCCTTAAATGATGCGTTCTATGGTGGTTTTCAGTTTCAATAACCTTCTTTTCACCCGAATTCGTTGACTGCTTGTTCCAATTATTAACGTAACGAAATGCCGAAAAGCATCCTTGTCTCCTCCGCTTTTTTCCCGAAATATATTGACTTAAGTGGTTCTTCCGGCAAAGTCTAACCCAGAGTAGAAACGTCGCTGGTGACTCCCAAGAAGGTTTCTTATAAGCCAAAAACTGTTCTGGAATAAATCGTGTGTCAGAGTAAATTTCACTACTAAACTCGGTGTGATATTTTCTATCATGCTGCCTACCAAACACATGTTAGGTCACTGTAAACGCAATGCTTCTAGGTTATAGGTGGCAACATATCTTTCCATCGTATCAAAGTTGCAGACAAAACCTTATCGCCCGCTAGCAACGGAATACGACAGCAGATTCACTATCTGTGCATCGTTTCGCTTGTGCTCAAGTCCATTTAGAGAGACTTGGTAGCTGTAGCATGTGATCTAAGAAATATAAGGGAAAAGTAAAAATTTTGTCAGCCGAATGAATTTATGCGATTGTTTTTTGCCCGAGTAACAGTACGACCCAGAATCTGTGACGCTAACTCCGTTTGCTACACGATGTCGTTCACTCTGAGGAATTTGTCCTAGTTTTTTCTCTGCGACTGTCCTTCATTACCATGGCAACTTTCTCGGTATAGGTGCAAATAGAAACTTGACTCCATAGCTATACTAATCAAACTATTCAGACACGTCTTGTGAGAAAAGGACCAGCTTCTACGCCAGCGGACGCTACTAATTTTCTCGTTAGTCAACCCAGTAAACCAATGACCGTTGGAACCAAGATGGCTGGGGATACTACTCACGATGCGCTGAAGAAAGCGAAGCGGGTGAGAATGCACTACATTCCAAAAAAACATAGATTTCGAATAAATATCTGTGAACTTCAGGCAGGGAAGTCGCTACAAACATCACGAGAAAGCACAGCAAATCGGGATATCATGAACATCGTCTAAACACGCGCCATGGTTCGCTTCGATAAATTTGTCGAACATTTTTCACCTGGAAGAATTAGGTGACGGAGATAGCTTGGAAAACTTTAAAGAAATATTGGAAACTGACCAGTCTATCTCCGCAAGGAAATAAAAGAATTCGCCAATTTAAAAAGATTGTCTGCTCTTTTCTTGCAAAATTGCTCTATACATGTGACTTGCAACACCACCCTTCTTGGCTCTGTACAGAGTCAATCCACTACTTTCAAAGACATAGACGAGAAGGCTTTCGTGAACAGAAACTGGTTAGTCACTAAACCAAAATCCTCACTTGACAGCCAAGTTGACCAGCGGGTTTTGCAAGCGTATACAAGCGATGATTGGCCTCATCCATTGCGTGGCAGTAATTAGTTTCAACGTTGCTTGGCCTGGGAGATCTTGGTGAAACCTGTTCCAAATTCTCTTCGGAATCCCACCCACCGTTGTCCAATTTTAAAGGTGATCCTTCTGGAAACGGTTGTGTCACTGGGGAGCTTGGTGTGGACGCTTTCGCCGTGGAACGCGATAAAAAGCTGATTCCAGCCTAAAAAACGCGTGGAAAGCAGAGGTTCCTTGAAATTATACCAGACTCGGTTAAAAAGAACAGTCCATTGGATCATGAGTAATCGTGCGTTATTGCGTGCTTAGCGTCAACATCACTGTTATCACCACTGACAGAAATAAAATAATAAATAAAAAATATGATGAAACTTCAGTGTCACTTCCAAGGTACAAAAGTTACGAGAAACGGTAATAGCTCTAGTTGTAAACATCCTGGGATACTTGTGTCTCCAGGCCCTCAGATTGGTCGTCTAAACGGTGTCAAATTTCATGGTAAAGTTGGCTGAAAGTAAAACGATGTCCCTAATCACAATACGCTTCTTCTCCGGATATCAACAAAAATATTTGCAGTGGAAAAATATTGCACAAACAGTGCACTGTTTGTTATTCACCGTTCAAATTAGGATTTTTGGCGCGACACTTATCACCAGTAGTAAGATGTTCCACCACTTTTTAAATACATCTCACGAGTTCGGCGAGAATCTGGAAACTTCCATTACCGATTCCCTTAACCTTGCGACTCATCACCAGGACCGGATCTTCGAAACTTCGTCAACCTCAGCTACCATCTGAACAGAAGATTGTGCGTATATTGCGACAAACACTCATTCGTAAACTGAGTTGACATTATCGGTGGATGCCACCTGACCTTAACCGTTACACACTACGCTTCCTCTGTGCAGCACAGTCAGTTGAAGAAATTACGAAAGAGAGACCCGAGTAAATTTAACTTGATTATAAGACACTAACGATGTTTGCAAGCAACCTTTTTCCTACTTCCCATGCATAATCTGGGATGAAGGTGCGACACAAACGTGATGGAAACTCAGATACTAAGTCTAATTGTTAAGCCATAAGAATGGCAAAACAGGTAATTGTTTGTCAGGTATTTTCAACAGCCTAATAAGTAGTGCAATATCAAACCAAAGAATGTTTGTCTTTACAGATTGGTGTCTTAATAAGGGCCTTCATGGTGATCAGTATTAATATATTGTTCGCTGTAGCTACTCTGTGGTATCTCTGCACGAATAAACCGAGTGACTATTGTAATTATGGCGAGAAGAAAGGTTTTCACGCATGTAAAAGCAAGACCAATATGGGAAAAAAGCGCTCAACTGTCAAACAACCGCGTTGATTCAAACAAAGTTGGAAATAAATTGTAATGTTTGACTGTCAACGGATTCGTTAATTTTAGTCAAACGAATGCTCTGTTTAGTCTGCCAAATGATGCACAAAATCCTAGTGTCTGTCACAGTGCGTTCATGTTCTATAAGCAAGCGGACCAAAAGTTCAGCTATCTCTTGTGGATAGAGCTCTTGCTTGTAGACACTTGCCATATGCGACGCACGATTAGTAAATTTTTACTTGAATGGAAGTCAGCTTCATTAAAGTAACCAAAAAGCATGCAAAAGCATATCTGGTAGAATGATTCAGTATTAAGAATTCCCAACTTAATAAAACCGTCAAACACTACATCATAATAAAACTTCTGTTCCTTGTGCAGTTCATTCCAGATACAACTTAGTTGACTGCTGAAAAATGGAAGCGTTTCGGTAGATCTTGAATTAAGGAGTCCAGGTGAAAGTGTCAGGAAAGAAAAAACACGAATGGAATATTTGAGGTCCTAACTAAACTGGAACCAATGACAGTTCTCAGCATCCTAATAAATAAAAACGCCGTCACCAGAAGAACCCATTGACTAAGGGAAAAGAATAACTGGAAGCGTTGAAAGTCAAACTACTTACGTGTTCTCGGATCTTTTGTCCAATCAGAGCCTCCACATCAGCTAATTGTCTCCGGTCCTCGGAATTTGTGTCCGTGTTCCATGAATTGTCCTCAAAATTATCAGACGCTGGCGGTGGGGAGAGCACGGGTGATCTCCGGTAGGAGACCTCAGGGGTTCGACTCGATGGCCTAATGACTTCCGGTCGGTCGCTTATCTGAGGGTGGTAGCGTGTTACGTTAAAACGACCTAACGATTCACGAATTTTATCAAAACACTGAGACCATTTTTAGCGCATTTTCAGTTGTTGATCACTTGGATTGCTATTTTGTTTTCAGCACTCTAACTCTTGCTACTGGATGTTAGTTTACCGAATCCTTGACAACTGATCATTCTCCTCTGAATCCAAAATGCAGACAAACATCGAAGGATGCAACCAATTGTAGGAAAAAAGGAAAGCAGACCTGTTGACTCCATTTGTGTAGCAGCTATTTTGTTATTTGTGCATTTATTAAATCTACAAAACCTTGTTAGAACTGAAAGAAGGTAGTGAGGGCTCCAAATGAGTCAGTTTGGCGTTTTGATCCTAAAAATAGTTACCAAACATTCCAGTAACGACAAGGTGAGCGAGTGGCTAACATGTCAGAAGCTTCTGGAAGAAGCTACATCACTTTCAGAACTATTGGTTTACTTCTAAGTCTTTTCTGACAAGCAATTTCCTCATGCACTTGGTCAACATGTTATCCTCGAAGTAGGGGCCTAGTTATAGGTATACGTGAGGTACTTAGTGATAAGACTTCGTTGTTACTTAACCACTCACAGAGGATAGGTACTTTGTAGTATGATAGAAATTGGTTTCTTAAGTATAACGCACACAGATTACCTGGTCTAATCCATTTCTCATTTTTGCTTCTGAATCTAATGCCACTTTTTGCAGTGAGCTGGGTGTGGAAACGTTCCCTCCGTCAGGACTTTGTCGCTGACCTTGTGGAAGACTGTTCATGAGTCCTGGCGGTGGTGTGTTCTGAGGACATGACGACGGTATGTTTCGAATGGATTGCTCGGGTTGCTCTTCTTCTGAAAAACAGATTCAACAAGTTGAGTAACCAGAATTATACCAATGATGGAAGCATGAAAATCAGCCGATATTTGCCAAGAGATTGAAAATTTTCATCCTCACTTTACTGCCTACCGACTGTTGCCAGAGAACAGACGCCTCTTCTAATAACTTCCAGTTGCTTATTCGATGTGTTCTACCGTATCAGGCAGCATGAAGTATGCCCCCAATATTCGTGAGACACCATTTTATGAAATATTAACGGTTCTATCTGTGTTTGCTTATAAGGATGTCCTAGGGGGAATTTATCTGCAGAATAAACAAGACAAGCAGAAACTCATCCTACATTCCGAAGGCGAGTACCAGTAAAGAGTTTGGCTGTTTTTAAGATGACATATGCAGATAATTACCAGCTTGAGAGAAACTCTACGAGACTATTCAGAGACAGGTTCAATTTCTCATGGGTTGTCACTCTACATTTTGATGCTACGCTGAGGAACCACTACCGCTCTCGTTTTTTGAATTCAATGGTTTGCTTCGGTATGCACATCGTACGCTTGCTCTGAAAGATAATGTGGTAAGTGAAAATATGCTTTTCTAAATTTGCTGCGATTCTTAAGGTTACGGGGCACAGGTCTTTTACCGAAACGTCACTGACATCATCAACGTCATCATTGTCAGCCGTAATAGCCGCGTACTCGTCGTACAGTGGCTGTAGCTACCGTAGTTCTGTTCACCGATGATCTGGGGGGAGGGATAGTTAACTGCGCATTGCAAGTGGGAGCTGATAAATTGGTGCATAAATCCAGCACTGTCAGTGGGCTGTCAGTGGTTAAGTATACAAGCTTAGCATGGGTTAAACAAAGTAGAACTGAGGTTCGCATAAAAGACTCCTCCTCAATAATGAGCACAACTTTGTCTGTGGATATCATATGGCGCATAGATGAACAACTGTGTGGTCTTCTGAATAGCTGTTTTGAAGCCAACAATAATACTCATACTTCAATATCATTCGCAAAGGAAAGAAAATAATCGAAATCTTTCAGCTGTAGCACCCTTTCAGTGCCTAAATGTCATGCCGCCCGAAGGAAGCACGAGGGCTAGGATACTGCCAGGTTGCCCAAGCCTAGACAGGGAAGTCGAAAGGTAGAGTTCGGGTTCGAACCACGGACCTTCTGGACAGTAGATTAGCGCTCTAACCACTTGAGCCATCTCACCCCCGCAAAGGAAGGAATTATACCGTGATATTTTCTGAGGAATGCTGCGGAGCCTTAACACGATTATTGCACCAGCGCCACCCCCGTCAACAGAAAGAAACTGTAGGTGTCCCATCCGGCAACTATTCAACTATGTGTAATTCAATGAGCGATGCGAAATCAAGAAGCCATCAGCTTATGATGTTCACAACGATGGGAAATTCGTATACTATCAAAATCCACGAGGATAGCCAAAACATGATAATGAAATGACGTAAATAAAAACGACATTTGATGTTTGAGTTGCAGCTGAAAACCCCCCTGTAGCAGGGTGTCATACAAAGTTAGTTATTTTGATATAGTGATAAACTAGTTTCCTTAGCCTAAGTTTACCTAATTTATTTCAACTGGGTAGATCATTACTGTTACATGGTTATTCTACAAAGAAACCAAGAATTTGCCTCACTTGTTCAGCAAAGTCATTCTTTTCAAACGAGGAGCGTGCAGTGAGTGCTTTTTGACAAAGTAAAGTTCAAAAACTTGGTGAATGCCAAAACGCAGACAACCCACAGAAAACCTAACAAAGACTTCGGCTTATTCTAGGATGCAAGGTTGTACTTTGCTTTGTTCGGGCAGCCAAATTTCGGAATTTGGCAAGCAAAGCACTTGTCGAGCAGCCAGCCGGTAGTTGGGGGTCCAAATTAATGGGAAAAAACAGTACAAATTATACCACGTACCTTTAGAATGCAGCGAATTGGTTTCCGACCCGATTGGACTGCAGGGTCGTACATCTGTCTGCAAGAATCAAATGGATTTTCATGTCATCACTCTAAAATATGTTTGAGGGCGTGAATAGTTGTATACCTGTCACCTTTCTGTTCGCAATTAGAAAAGAGTAACTAAGTGAAAAATTCAACCAACAGATTCCCGGGAATCCCACGTAGCCGCATCTGTTATGTGTTAAGTTGGACACCGGTATAGATGCTCTGCATGTTTTTTTGTTGGCCAGGACAATCCAAAAACAGTCCGAATGATTATTTTTGAGACTGAGATTTTTAAATTCCTGTCTTCCATACAATGTGAACATCAAAGTTGTTGAACATTTATCAGGGCTTCAGCTTCAGAAACTCAGTATTTTCTGCACAATTAGTGGAGATTTCCATAACTACTGTCCGTCTCTGTGGGTTAGGAACGATTCCAACTAGTCTTAACCAAGTATCGAATAGTATTTGGGCTAAAAGCCATGCACTTGACAGTTTTTGTGTGGTTATATGGAAGTATTTTGCATGCCGCTGTCTTAACAGCGTCAGTAGAAAAAGGTCCATTCAGACCTGAGGGATGTTTTTTTATGTAACCCTCACACAATTCATTATATTAAGGCTTCTCCAAAACGACCGATGACGTGAAGAAAACGGTCACAAACTTTTGCTCATTATTAAAGCAATAGGTGATGTGACCGATAGGAGCAATAAAATCTTTTCAACTTTAATAGAGGCGATTCCGGAGAGGAAACAAGCCAACTGGTACCACACCTGTGAGGTTTACTTGTCGGTCAGCAATAGAGACAAGAAGAAACCCCATAATTGTTATAGCGGTAAAATGCTCAAGGCAGAGAAAAGGTTGTCGCTCTATGGAGATAGGCATGGACGCGGGTTTTGCTTCACCTGTAGTATGCTCATCTGGGTGATTTGTGGCACCGTAAAGTCACTGGCGTTATTTCCTATTTCAAAAATGAGTATGGCATTTGAAGACGATATTTCAGGTGGCAGTTTTTCGCCGGAAATCGGTGATGTGTAAAAACTAGTCAGCATCAATCTGCTTAAACGCATTGCGTTTCAGTTATCCGAAATATATTACATGTACAAACTCCAAACCTCATCCTTTTTCGCCTAAGTTTAAATCGGCTAATTACATACTGAACACTGTTCGTTAGCCAACGGTGCATCGTTTCACGTACAGTGTGTGAGGGCTCCCCAAATTACACTACGGGTCATACTGACATAACACCCGTTCCCACTCACATGGGAATGAACAGCTTCTGTTTGGAACACACTCAGAGCTATACCCAAAAGTTTGAACTTTGTATGACTTCTACATTTAAAGTCTACCACAAATTCTGGGGATATGGTTTAGAATGAAGGGTTTTGTAACAGTCGTAAAACGAAGAGGCGTGAACCAAAGATCTTATTGATTGTTATCGAGAATTGCGTTCTAATGCGAAAAATGGGCACTGACACCAAACACCATAAAACACCAATCAGTTGTACAAAATACGTATTCTTTGAACTTACTTTCTCACCCTGATCAACACATGGAAAATCATGTAACTTGGATTCAACATCTTCTTGATCTGCTGAAATGTAAGAAAGATGCTGAAGAAGCAAGTGCAGCAGAACGCTCGTGACGTTTAAAAATACTCCTACAACGACTGGAGGCACAGATTTCCAGCAGGAACAGTACGCTTAATCTCATCAACAAACTTGCCTAAAAGTAGTGTATTCCGGGAGATTGTTTCAAACTTCTTCAAAGCGTGTGTAACTCAAGCTGCTCCCAAGATTTAATGACGATAACGGTCATAGAAAATACTCTACATTCTATCCCAAAAGATGACTTGATAAAATGCCTTTCAAGTCTGCGCCGAAGTTTCACCAAATCACTAGTTCACTATGAGGGCCAAACTAACACTCAGTTGGAACATCAAACAAAAATTCGGTGGCTAAGAGATGATCATGGCAAAATGATATTTTTGATGCGCACCGAATACTCAGTGTACGGTGAGCAAAAAAGACGAAGAGCTCAGACCACTCCAAAGCAACAGGAGTGATTGACAGCCTAAATAAGAGCTTAAAAGCAAACACCTGGTCAGACGACTGTTATACTCAGGGACTGATTTTCTAGGCTTTTAGAGGCTATGCCTTCCTGACGAGCGCCGAACAATACGAAACCGGTAGTAAGCAGAACACAACCAGTCGCCCTATAACAAATACTTTAGGGAGGGAATCAAGCTCACAACAGGAGTTTGAGAATATCTGGCTTCTAGATGTATAGAACAGTGTCTCACTTGAAGTTATGCGTTATTCACATCAGCTATTGGACATTTTGCGATCACTGCACCCATATCTTGGAAGCTTTCTAGTTCAAGTGATTTAAAGATTCGCGCGTTTGGCGCTCACGAAACCTGCGTCGCCATGTCGTTTCAGCCAGCGATGGGCAAATGAGGAGACTTCATTTTGAGCCAATATCTTTTTGAAACAGGCTTTCTCTGAATCTTTGAAGGCATTCAAGTCTCCAAGTAAGTACACAGTGAATAACATCCGCAACCCCCATATGAATTGCCCAAAAGTTTTCCCAAAATTGAAAAAATTTAATGATAGGCAACGGAAGCTTTGCTGGCGATATTTCTAAAGTTAGGAGAATATAAATGTGGAATTTGCGAGCGGTTTGATGTTCAGAAAACGCACCGGCAACTCGAATGAATTACAAGCTGGTGAAAGCCCGTTAATCTTGTATAGTGTTTCCTAAACAATTATGTCAACGACTGTAGTATAAAATGCTGTTCCTCCCGTTGCAAGCGTGCAACATTGCTTTGTGAAAACATGTGCGAAGTTACGCGGAAATTTCCTTGGGACAATTCAGGATACGCCAAGTTAATTTTCGTCGATCGAGGAGTCTGATCAAATTCACCGTTGGCGAACTTATTTAAATTATTTCGTGAGCAACACCCAGCTCACAGCTCACAGCTGCTGATTGTCCTCAGAGCCTAATGATTCAAGATGAAAACTTTTCAAAGTTGACTACATTCCCTCACGACCAAATTTTGGTGTTAGATGAATTAGCCCACACTCTGGTTCGCTGTTGGCAAATAGAAAATTATATTTTCATTCCGATCCTGAGTGAGAAGATACATTCTGGTATATGAATTTAAGCAATGTGCCGCAAATCTTGGCGTAGCCGAATGTGTCCTCTGCTAGTGAGCCGCAATCAGAGCAAGACGGAAGCCTACTACTTCTCAGCCTAGACATACTACTTACAATTGTACAGGACAAGGACTATCCAGGAAAACTTTTCAAATCTTGCAGCTAATCATAACTTTTCTTTTTATATTCATCTCTCCGTACGGTTTGCTTACAGTGACACTTGGGAGTAACGAAGGCTGAACATTTGATTCGAAATTAGCCATTGCTACTTCGTTTAAGAGGAGGAATTCAGCCGTCAAGATGAAAGCAAACAGCCAGTTAAATAGATATTTTAGAAAGCTTTGAGAACAGTGACAAGTTTAGGGTATCGCGGGGACTAAACAGAACTCATTACATTCCAACTGGTGCACGACAACTTAGTTTTCTGCTCTTGGAAATTTCCCGGTTTTTTCAAGGCTTTCCCGAGTAGATGACACCAATTTATAAACATGGAATTTTAAAACTAGTGAAAGTGGACATACAGAGTAGTATTGGTGGTACTTGTCGATTAGTTCTGCCTTTTTTACATTCCAAAATTATTTTAAACCAAACAAATCTACAAGGGCTCGGATGTTATAGACCGCCAAACTCAAACTGTACTCGTAAAGTCACTTTCAGCGTAAATAGTCAGGAATCATCGGTGACTTACGTTTAGATACAGACGAAATTTCTGAAGATGAAGTGATTTTTCGCCGTAGGTCATATTTCAAATTTGTAACCAATTCCGGTTTGTGAACTTGCGCTTTCGTGTTGGAAGCCTTTGCAATTTCCAGAAGTGTACGTGGGGGCGACACTGTGGTTTGGCGTGCAAAGGTCTCGTTCTGCTGATTGGAAGTGCTAGGAAGTTGAATCGAAGAATTATTTACGGAATCTGTTATCAGTTCCAGCCCTTCCTGTTCACTTCCAGCCACTTCACCACGAAAACCCTGGTTTCGTGCAGAGTTGTCACTATCCTCGCTGTCACTGATGAACATGTCAAAAGTATCATTGTTTCCATTATCTGTGTTTTGGATAACAATTTTCGGGACATATTTCCTATCTACTGCTGTTCTACTTGGGGGAGAAATTGGTGTCATGCCCGCACTGGGAGTGTCAGATGATTTGCCGCTTCTCGATATGTTTCCCATTGGCCCCGTAGAATCGTTTTGAGGGACAGATGCGCCATTCAAACCTTTAGGAGAAAGTGTGGAAGACCTTCTGTATGGTTGCATTGATTGTATAACAGCTGTCCGACATTCATCGTGCCGATGCACTTGTGCTAGGTCAATTGCATTCCATCCTGTGGTATAGGAGATAAAGGTGCAATTCTGCTTAACTGGAGGCACTTCAACTTGTTAACAAAAATATCACCCCTGTGAGTCTCAGTATATGTGTCAGATACAAAAGTTTGTACTAGGGATTAAAACTGTTGTAATAATTGTATATAACCAGAAAAAATTACCACGACAATTGTCTCCACGACGAGGTCTCTCCACCTTGTCTGTAGCTCCATGTCCACATTCCTTCATCATTATCTTTCCCCCGTAACGGAACCTCTCTATATGAAACCGATCTTTACCACCCAGGAGTTTGTACTGCACACAAATAACTTTCACAGCAGTAGTGCTATCGATGTGTTTGTTATGTAGACGCATAATTTTTACTACCGGAGAAATCAGCAGGCAGCAAGCAGGACCAATTAGTAAAGGGCGGAAAGCAGGAAAAAAAATTCCAAGCTAGTTCTACGAAGAATAGTTCGACAATCATCAGTGCACTGCAATGTACAGGGGGCAGATGCGTGTCATATGCAAAGGAAGGGTTCACACCGGCCACATTTAGAATCCTCTTATTTGGTTCCCTGTCTCTCTGAAAATCCGCAAAATGACCACATTTTGGTTTCCACTATCGAGATAACTTTGAAAATGAATTCCCTATTATTCAAAGATGTCGTTCGTTATGGCGAAAAGCGAAATGTGCGCAAAGGTACGAGCATCTTAGTTTGTTAATTTCAATTCACTAAAAGACAATCTAATCAAATGATTCCGACATTCCGGGTCCAGTAGTTGAGTGAGGCGCCTCACGTTTCGCCTACTGAAACGACCCACGAGCGTCTTCTAGGATTAGTCAATGTTTATAATTTAACGGGTAGCGTGTTTGAAATTCATTCGAAAACTTACTTGAATGCTTACACTTACCATCCTCATCCCTGACATCTAACTCAGCTCCAGCTCGCAGAAGCAGTTCGACAGCGGGGAGATGACCAACGATACAAGCCAACATTATTGGGGTACTGAAGTAGTAGAATCAAACACGAAACAAATATTTGCCTTTTGGAGACCAAGCAGCAGTGATGTGTACACATCAATTATAGGTGTTTGATCTAGTCAATGAACTGGAGGCGGCGGTGTTACACTATGGGGCAAAGAAAAGTTTGGTTCGTTCGCAGGAAAAATTAGTCGAGAATGATGAAAATATCGGCGCATGTTTGGCATACCTGTCCTACATGAAATCGTATGAGATATTTTCTCAGTGGTGGTCCTGTTGGCTTTGTACTCACCTACAATCAACCTGGCTCGCTTTAACAATTGGTTTTACTTCTTGTTCCACTTGTTGGTCAACAAATCAGGTTCGTTCTGAGAGAGTAGATATTATGGTTTGGTGCGATAAACAGAAACACACAACAGTCCCTCGATTTAGGAAGGAAAATTTGTTACCTGTCTAACTAGCCTCGTGAATAGATGGACAACTAAAACGTAGAGTTTTTGCCGGTATTAAAACCCTGGTTGACGCTGCAATGCTCGAGAAAACCGAAAAGTTAATTGCCTTTATTTCTCAACGATCTAAGCCTTCGGATTGCCACCACCGAGTGGCTGCTTTGCGACATAGCTGATGCTTCGAGAAGGAAAATGAACATACTGTCGTTCATCCTGCATTGGTGAATCTACTCATCACTCAAAGTTTTCGTCAACTTCCAAGCGCTTCTCTTGACGTGAAAAATAAAACGCTGCCTGTAGGGGAAATATTTTGACATAAATGTGGGAGGCAAAATTTTTCTTAGTTAAACACGTTTGCGTGCAAATATTTTTGTATTGATCATGAGCGTATGAGAGATGCACAAAATAAAGAAGTATTGAGTGCGTATTAAACAAAGAGCCGTGTTTAACTACTCCTATGGATATTGCTTGACTGTGAAGTTCGATCTTGGACTAGCTAAACGAAGAAAGATGGTTTATTGTACAAACCTTCATCACAAGATAACGACGGAGAAGTGATAGATGTTTTTACTAGAAATTACCGTTATTTCAAACCTGAAAGTTTTCTTTCTGATTGCTAGTGCAAACTAGTCTCTGGACGTCAGAACGTGACAAAAGGCTTGCGAGTTTTTTTTGCTCTAGCGCAGCAGAAGAGCGCTCAGGTGGCAGTTACTCATTTTTTATGTGATTATACCTCATCAGGGTTGAATGTGGCTCAACATTTTGCCTTGGTTAGGGTATTTACTTTGTGATTTCTCGCACACTATTTTTCAGCAAAAATACTGGTGTCGTCAAAATGTCTGGTTATGGAATGTTGTCCTTCAAGTATTCTGTTTACTTTTGAACAAATTTACAGGTAGCTTGCTTGGAGATCTCATTGGAGGATAATATTTTTCGTTCAAAATAACCATAAGGCCGCTTACCGTCCATCGCAATCCAAGCAGTTGACATTGGCATTGCACTCCAATAAAAATGTAACCATTGCTGTATCCCGGTTGTTGACTGCCAGATGAAGGGCTGTTCTCCCGCTCTGAAAAACAGTCATTTTGTCATCGGCTAAATAAAAATCCTTTCGGAATCTCTGTCTTCCGGTAGACATACTTGATTAGTTGGTTGCAATCAGCGCTGATGGTGGGATAAGTATTACTTTAAAGTCATTAACAAAACCAAAGGCCGTACACTTCTCAGCATGTCGCGTTTCTATCCATATTTGTAAACTTTTGACGACACTAGGTTGGCTCCAATTTTTAACAGATTTATTTATGTAAAAAAAGCCGGATTGCTCAATAAACGCTGAATAATCTTATGCTTTTGGCAGTAATAGCTTTTTACCTGGGATTATCCTTCACAATTGGAGCATCTGTGACAAACCTCCAAAAAATCTCTGTCACCACCTAAATGTTTGCAAAGTTTGTAAATCCGTTTTACAATATTACAAATAAGGTATCAGAATTAACCTGGTGATCGGCATATCTCGCTAGCGTTTCGTGAAGCCAGGGGGAAGGGTAAACAAGCGAACTCTTGTCAAATGCGTGAACCCTGCCAGTTTCAGTCGGATTTCTTCGTTGTATTTCCTGATTTACTTGATGTGTGCTTTCATGTGAAACACAAGTCACAGAGGACAAGACGCGGTGAGAATGTTGGCATTTAGTTTGGAATTTCAAAGGTACTCAACTAAGTACACTAGGGAATGTTGCTTTAAAAACTGGTTAGTGATGAATAAGAAAGCCTAAATGACGTATCTAGCTACGGACTAACAATAGACAAGTATTTCAGCGACGATATTTTAGGGTAGAACACACAGTAACTTTGTGTGGTGAGTGATTGCTTGGCTCCCTTTCTTTTTATGCTGCAGCTTAAAGATCAAACCAAACGTCTATGCGCCGATCACGCTGGGTAAATGGAAAATAAAAACGCAGCAATACAAAGAAAGATCATCGCGGTTGAGCAACTAGTTTTGTCAAGTAAGCCACTTGTGACTCGAAAATTTAGGTTTGCCGTTAATAAAACAGAGCTCCGTGTTAACTTTGAGTGACCCATTTGTTGCTCCTTGGCACTCTACCATATGCTTGCTCAGAGCGATATGTGGTAATTGTGATGTTTACTCTTTCGTATAGTCTGATTGCCGTACTCTCAGATGCTAAGCTCTGATTTCGGTCATCCGCAAAATAGTGATTGCTACTGCTCATTAAATGTTTTTTGTATACCTCAGTTTGTATCCTAGTGGTTGAATCGAGTTTCTACAAAAGTGAGTCTGCAATAAAGAGCACGTTTTTTTATTTTTGCTGTTCGTTGTCTCCATTTTTTCTAATTTTTCTGCTATATGCTTTGTTGCTCCGTCCTTCCTCATTTATCCGGTAAAAAAATTCCATTGTTATAACACGGAAGTAGGCATGTGTACACTGACATTATCGATGACGTCATTGACCCAACAAATACTATTTTGAACCTGAGTTGTACCTGACTTACATAAGTCCAAACTATAGAGCCGTTAAGTGCTCTAGAAGTATGAGAAGCTTTGTGGTTTCTTTTCAAAATTGCCTGTACTTTCTGTGTGCGTCTCCTAACAATGCATCAAAGGTCTGTCAAAGACGGATAAGTATGAAACCGGAAAATGCATTGTTTCGCGCAATATACTACAGTCCGTCAACGTGAAAGAAGGACCATTACACAGTTAGTCTGCTAAAATGAGTGGTAGGTCATGTTATTACATCCTGCGGTGCAGATGACTGAATAGACGTCTACAACCCTTAGCATCCTCCTCAATTCCATGTACGGACTACGTCCCTAGTTGAGGAATCTTTAGCTAAATATGCTGGCAGTTTTGTAGCAGAAGAGGAACTCTCTGCCTGTCTGTGTCCGTATTGGCACATCAGTTTAGCAAGTTTCAGTAAGCAGTGGTAGACTTGACGCATAATGCAGCTTTAACAGCCCCGTAAGGGGATTCCTGTAGGTCAACAAAAATATTTCTCAAAGTCGATTTTCTGACCACCGGGCTACTGAGCAAGTCCCTCGGAGAGTGATTTCAACTGCCGTCTCGAAATATATAGGCAGGTGGTTTACCGCCTTGAGCAGAAAATTTAGTTAGGAACCATAATGTCACGAAAGCATCTGTGAAAGATCAACCCCGATGCGTTTAGCTCGAGCAGTGGAAATAAGACCTGTTTAGTTGTACGACAACTGAAGTCTCAGAACCATAAAACGTGTAGGTTCGTGTCGGCAAATCCGTAAAAAGGCTATTTGAAGACAAGTTTAGTCTGCAACCTTGCACCAATTCACATTACCGCAGTAAATTCACCGGTTTACACACATTCGCTGGATTAATCCATTTTATTCAACAACCCAGAACATGGGAGAAATATTTTTCCCACACGGACTTTCTTCAGCGTTTTGCCCTCGGTAAACCGCTTCGCAAATACTTACCGGGAAAAAATCACTGACTGATATCGCCAATTTCCTAAACTTTTGATAGCCTTACTAATCCTTTTTCTTTAGGAAGTAGTTGAATAGAGGAATTAGTTCCTCAGATACTTGGAGCGCTCTCCGAGCCGGCTGTACACTTGGTATAGAAGACCTCCTCTTCTGATACCCGGTTAACGGAACTTTCTTGTAAAAATCCCTCCCATCTTCGCATAACGTGTTTCTGTAATAGTCAGAGATTGGGGTGTGGTCACATCTACTTCAGGTGCGTTGTTGCAAGTGGGTATCGATCCGTCTTCCTAGTTGTCCGGATACGAAGCCCGTCGCGCAACCTGTGAACACTGTAATTAAAGTCCAGAGCAACAAAAGCCACTAACCTAAATGTCAGAGAAAAAGAAAAGGTTGGAAGTGGTGACGTCTCTACACCCTCTCACATATGGTGTGCCCACTTTGTTTCTCTTTTGTTACCACAGCGTGTGGGAAATTTTCCTCGCCACTTACCACTGACCTGTTTGACTTTGCTTCCTGTTTCTTTCAGAAGGCTGAAACTACCAACCCCTTATAATTGGAGATTGTTTCCCAACTCTGACCCCGAACTGCCTTTGAAGTGTCGTTCAATGTTTGGTCACGTGGGCCCCATGTAACTGCTGGTTTGTCTTGCTTCGGTATGTACTTAGTTCGTACAAAATAAAAGGTGCTGTTCTAAGGTATTCATCCTTCTCTAATTTGCAAGCATGAATTGTGCCCCTCGGTGATCAAACCAATCTTTTATACTTACGAAATCTGAACAGCTTTCACGCAATGTCTTTTTTGCGTGCGTACAATGGAATTTAATGGCAACAGGGGCAACTCTATGTGTGTGTGTGTTGTCTCTCCATTATCATCAGGGAAAAAACTGTACACTTAATAGAATGAAAAAAGACCTACCGAGTTTTGTACGTCAACCGAAATGCCCGACATCAGTAGTTTGCGTGTTATCTGAATGTGGCCTGATTGTGCGGCCTGATGGAGTGCATTGTCTCCATTTGCATCAACGATCAGCAAGTCCGCTCTGTATGCAATCAGGAGTTCCACACAAGCATAACTTTTTGCCTCTATCGCTTTCATCAGTGGGGTGTGTTGGTTACTATCCAGTACGTTTAATTTCGCGTTAAACTCCAACAGCTCTTTCGTGATCTCAACATTACCCTTGGCGCAAGCCAAATGTAGTGGTGTCCTGTACTCGATTTTAAAGGGCAGTTGTGAATTTACCTGTTTTCTGAGTCACACGTCATCGGTTCCCTGCGCACTAGCAAACAAACTTTCTTTATATCGCCATTCCACACAGCTTTGTGGAGCTTTCCCCACTCTTTTTCCTGAACAGAAGAATACCCTCGAATTGTGGCGCTAGTGTTTTGCGAAGCATCTGCACTTCCAACTGAATCAGAAGGGCTTCCACTACGTGAACGTTTGCCTTTGTGGAGACGCGACAACAGGCGTTTCATCTTCATTAATTCAAATGAGCGGGCATTTTGCAGCGTCCTGTTATCTGTATGTTGATTAACATAAACAAATCTGAACATAGGTGACAAACAGCGAGGGTAAGTGGGAGTAGCTTTCATAAAAGACGGCATATAGAATAACCATACTCAAAGAACAGAATAATAGGGTGGCTGTCGAACGCTTGCTTTACGCTATGATCATACATGAAGCGGCTCGATTTTCGTCGAATGCAATCTATTTTCGGAAAGTAAGACTCACGGATTCACGGATTGATACACACAATCGAGGATTTGGCAACGTTTCCCGGGTCGGTTTTGTTCTTGTCGTTCAGCGGCTGTCGTTCACCTGAAGGGCACTAGTGAAAAAAGTGTGCAGCATTGCTCTTTATGTTCTCAGCGCGGGGCAGTATGCTCGCCAGCTGGAGGATTCGCATAAATAAATGTCTAGTAGTGCTTTAAACTGGGTTCTAGAAGGAGCGTGAACAACCGTCGGAGGAGGGTCATTCCACGAACCTACACGAAATGTGAAAAAATGTTGTCTGATGAATGTGTGTTCTGAGCTTGAAATTTTTCTCACTATGTCCCCGCCATGTGTTTGCTGGGTCAACAGTGAAAAAACTGTTGGTCAAGCTCTGTACAAACAGGGCATATGCGAGAATTGGGTCCCCTCGGAGGTGACAACACTCCAGGGGAAGGAGATTAAGCATCGCGAGACGCGGTTCGTAGTCCACGGATTTGAGTTCGGCAACCATTTAAGTAGCAGCAGCTGGACACGCTCAATGAGAATGACCTCTTTCGTGCGTCCTAAGGAGACAACTCGGTTGGTGTATTCCGAGAGCGGTCTGACGTAGGCGCAATGGGGTATTTGGAAGTCAATGCGAGTAATAAGGGAGAAGGTGCGTCGGATCATCCGTAAAATGGCGAATGCTTTTTGGGCCGACTTCACATGGTGCAGTGAGAAGGACAAGCTTAAGGGGACCCAGATACCAAACCCTTTTTGGCATCCATCCTCATGGTGTTTTCTGGTCCTTTCTCACCATGCATAACAAAGGCATTCTCTGAGTCTCCTCCAAATGATATATGGGCACGTTTTTCGCCATTTAGAGGAAGGTGCCAGTCCAACGACCACTGCTCTGCAGCGTCTATATCCATTTGGAGGGCACTGGCATTGGAACTCCAGGATTTCATGTTGCCCGCAGAAAGTGGACACGGGTTGCAAGAACGTCTGGAAGGTCGCTGACGTAGATCAGATACAGCAGAGGTCCCAGGACGGATCCTTGAGGAACTCCAATGGAGACTGGCGCCGGGGAAGGGTAGGTCGAGCTTATTCTCACTCGGAATGATCTGTCTGATAGAAACGCCTTGATCCAGTCGAAGAATATGGGATCCAGTATGGGTATTTCGTCCTTGGCTTGGGTTAAGCTGTCCATAATCGCGAGCTTGTTTGTCACGAAAGAGCGGCTCGGGAGATATAAGGTTGCTGGAAGTAAGGTAATCTAGGTCGGCTCGCTTCAGAATGCGTTCCATCGCCTTGCACGGTAAGCTAGTGTGGCTTAGAGGCCTTCAGCTGCAGGTGATAATCGGTCGCCAGTCTTGTAGATTGGTGAGACAATCGTTTCCTTCCAAGCAAAGGGAAGGCGGCCTTCGTCACGAAACTGACAAAACAACAGGTATAAATTATTTGCCAGGATCCTTGGATGAACCCCGTCGGGCCCCAACGCGCAGAATGGGTTGATCTTGTGCAAAAGTTGACAAATGTCCTCCACCGTGAAGAGCGACTCGCTTAGAGGCTGTACGTATATCCTCCTTGACAAGAGTGGATGTGACGAGCACGCTGGGGCTGAGTTTAGACACGCATAGTGTTCTCTGTAAACCTTAGATATTACTGTTAGATCACTCGTGAGTTCTCCGTTTTCAAAGTATAACTTCGTAATCAGGATCATCCACGTCAAACGCACCTTCCTGCTGATACTCTGTATGGGGAAT